TGTGTGTGTGTATGTGTATGTGATGTGTGTGTGTGTGTGTGTGTGTGTGTGTGTGTGTGTGTGTGTTCGCGTGTGTGTTACCTCGCGGACATAGCCTGAACTCGTTCCGCCCACCACACACACACACACACACACACATACATGCATGCACCCGTCACTGACAACAGGAAACCAACGGACATGACGCAGCGACACATGCTGCTGACGCGCCAGTCCAGGCCGCGCTCCCGAAGCGTTGACAGGTGTGACCAACAAACATGGCAGCGTGTACCGTGGACCGTGTGTGTGTGTGTGTGTGTGTGTGGGTGTGTGTGTGTGTGTGTGTGTGTGTGTGTGTGTGTGTGTGTGTGTGTAGATGTGTGTGGGTGGTGGTTGCGATCAAATGAGTTTCGTTTCGTACGTGCTTGGTGATGGGACATATGATCTTTACGGCTGCCCCCTCATCGCTTCACGATGCTTGCAGGCACTCTCGTTCGCCCCGCACCACCTCCCGGCTGAACGATGATGCAAATGGTGAGATGGTTGTAGTATTGCCACGTCCCCCGCCTTTCTTTGCGCCCTTGAACTCCTTTCCATTCCAACAACTTCTTTGCGTGAACTAACCCCTACCTGTCTACTCATCACCCACCCTCCACCGGGAACAGCCAACCCATCCTGCCATCCTTCTCACACACATATGCACACTCGCTCTCTCTTACTCTCACCTTCATCCCATCCCTCTCCCCTCCCCTCCAAATCCGTACAGGCGTCCCTGGCCTCATGTACCCATCTGCCCTGCACCCGCGACGGGGCTCACTGCTCGGTCCCTCGACGACAACGGCGCGCCGCTCATATCCGCCTCCGCACACGCCAGACACGTTCATGCTGGCAGCACAGGGCCACCGCGGGTCGAGCGACGGCGCAATGCCGCCCATCGCAGGCGACCGCGGCCAGCGCTACACGCGATACAGGTGAGGCTGGTGGTGGAGGTGGTGGTGGTGGTGGTGGTGGTGGAGGAGGAGGGTTAGTGGTGGTGTGAAGGGGAAAGAAGGGGACACAGCGGCGGTGATTGCCTTTGCTTTTTTCGTGCTCAATAGAGTAGTCAAGCTGAATTGCCTCCTGCCACTGCCACCGCCACTCACGCCCAACCACCGTTGCAACCGTCACGACCACCGCCATCAGCCCCTCTGTTGGGGATCCGGACGCGCCATCCCACCGCAGCAGCACGCAGGCCGTCTCGCTCCCATCGCTCTTCCGCAACGCAACAACAGAGACCCTGCAGTCCACAGCGGGCGGCGACGGTGCTGGCACCAGTGGTGACCGCGCCCAGCCGAGCGATGTGCACGCGCGTGGTGGAGGCACTCGCCACCGCAGCAGCATCGACCAGTTTCTGATGGACCCAATGTCCGGTAGCCACCACATGCAGGACGCCGAGTTTCGTCATGCCATGCGCCTCACACCATTCAACATCAAGGAGCTTTTGCTCAGGGTGTGTGTGTGTGTGTGTGTGTGTGTGTGTGTGTGTGTGTGTGTGTGTGTGTGATTGTGTGTGTGCATGATTGTGTGCTTTGTGTGTGTGTGGATGCGTGTGCGTGTGCGCGTGAATATCGCACATACATTTGTGAAGGTGTATATGCCAGTGTGTGTGTGCGTCGTACATCATTCTCCGTGTGCACACAACATGTCACAATGCAACGTCGCATGCTCACCTGCTCTCTGTTCACACACACACACACACACACACACACGCCCGGGAACTGCCAGAAAATGAACATTCCCCCCAACATCGCCGCGATGGACGACGACGAAGCAGAGAACGCAGACTTTATGAACTTTGTCGTCAGCCTGGCAATACACGGGTGGGTCGCAGATGCAACCATCATCATGATTGTTGCCTGATGTCGCAGCTCCTCACTCAATGACACTCTCGGGGGATTTGCGTTCGACCAACACATGCATGTTGATATATGTGGGTGCATGCGCGCATATTAACACGTGCTTGTGCATATTGATGCGTTCCTGCATGTACATGCGTGTGTGCACACGTGTGTACATGTGTGTGTTGCATGTGTGTGCGTGTACATGTACATGTGTGTGCGTGCAGGCGGCGTCTGATGATGACGCGCGACGACAGAAAACACAATCTCGGGCCCCACGAGCGCAAACACTCACCGGTACAGTGGCGGTTATGGCCGAAAGATGGGGTTGTGGTAGTGCTGTGTGTGTGTGTGTGTGTGCTGTGTACATTTCCACAGGTGTGTACGTCTGCTAGTTGACGTGGGCACAACAGCGGGCCAAACATCATCACTCACAGCCTCTGTATCGACACACATGCACACGCACACGCAAAACACACACACACATGCACACATTCACACGCACACACATTCATGCACACACATTCACACACGCACACATTCACACACATATGCATTCAACGCACTGTGGTGTGAGCAGAAGGCGCGCCCTGATCGGCAGACGTGCAAGTTCTGCGTTGCCATCCGCGTGGGCGGCGGGTATGTGTTTGTTGGATTTGCAGACGAGGAAGGCCGCTGTATTGGGTGTGGTCGCTTCCTTGACTTTGACCTGAGCGACCCAACGCAGGCGTCCATGGTCAACTGGGCTGTGCAGTTTGCACGCCACCGCCGCCGCATGAAGGGAAAGGGTGGACGGAAGGGTCAAGGTGGTGGCGCCAACGGTGGGGATGGCGTTGATGACGATGATGATGGTGGCGGCAGGAGGAAGGGTCGCCGTGGCGGTATCGGTGGGGATGGGGGCGATGGTGATGACGAGCAAGCACGCCTCGCCAAAGAACGACAGCTCGCATGGGCTTCAAGGTGAGATGGGATGGGCACACGTGTGTGTGTGTGTGTGGTTTTCGTGGTGGCTACTGAAGCTGATGCATTGATGTACAAGACTCATTCACCCACACTCACAAACACACAAACACACACTCACACACTCTCTCATTCCCTTACACACACATACACCCCCGCCCCTCCTCCGCGCAATGGACAGGCAAGCCACGCGTGCCGGCAACCGTGACGGCGACGGATTTGATGGGCGCGGCGACCATGGTTACAACAGCGGCGCATACGGCAGCGGCGGTCGTGGTGCACACGGTGACATCGGTGGTGGTGATGGTGATGGTGATGGTGATGGTGATGGTGGGCGGAACGGGCGTGCTGACGGACTGTACGGAGGGGGTGGTGACGGCTCACTGGGGTCCGGTAGCGATGGCCGTGGTGGTGTTGGCGGTGATGGGTTTGGTGGTGGTGGTGGTGGTGGCTTGTGGGGTGATGGCCACGGTGGTGGTGGTATTGGGGACAGCCTGGGTCGTGGTGGTGGCGGTGTGAATGGGTTTGGTGGTGCTGGCACGAACGGCGACGGGTCGGGAACCGACAACATCAGCGGTGGTGGGTTTGGTGATGATGATGATGATGGTAACGGTATGGGTGGCGGTGGTCGACGTGGCAGTCGCGCTGCACGCAGGAGCGTGACGTTTGAAAACGACGCATTCGCTGGCATCAATGGCGATGGAAGCGGTGGTGGTGATGGCGGTCCCGGCAACGACGGTACCGGCGGCCGCGGTGGCAGTGGTGGTGATGGTAGCGGTGATGGTCACAGTGGTGATGATGGCAGCGGTGACGAGGAAGGCGATGAGCTCGTTGACCTGAGCACCGGTAGGCACGTTGCCGCCAAGACGTCGTCATCAACCGCTGCGAAGAAGCCGCGCGGGAGTCTCAGCAAAGCGCGGCGCAAGAGCACCCGTCGCAAGCTGCGTGTCGGTGATGGCGACGATGACGATGATGACGATGGCGCCGGCGAGAGGTCGCGGCGTGCGAGCATGGCCCTCTCGGAGGCGCTCTCGGAGGCGCAGAAGGTTGGTGGTGGTGGTGGTGCTGGTGGTGATGATGGTGGTGGTGGTGGCTCGGTTTGTTTGTTTGTTTGTTTGTTTGTTTGTTTGCTTGTTTGTTTGCTTGTTTGCTTGTTTGTTTGTTTGCTTGCTTGTTTGTTTGCTTGTTTGTTTGCTTGTTTGTTTGTTTGCTTGTTTGTTTGTTTGTTTGTTTGTTTGTGTCTGGATGGGTGGACCATTGCACCGCTCACGTTTGTGTGGGTTTCACCACCATCGTTTACAGTCTGCGCGCAAGAAGCGCCACAAAATGCCGCCACAGGTCCACGCCGATCCTTCCGGCGCAGCGTTAGTAGTTGCACACACGCGCGCGGGGAGGGAGATAGAGAGAGTGTGTGTGTGTTTGTGTGTGTGTCTGTGTGTGTGTGTGTGTCTGTGTCTGTGTCTGTGTCTCACACACATATTTGTTGACACAGACGCGTGCACGTGTGATTTTGCTTTTCTTGTGCTGTTTTTTTCCTGTCAACATCACGCGTACTTGTTATCATATTAACACTTACACATGTGTTTCTATGCTGTGCACTTTTGTCCTTTGCCCGCTGTATTGCGCCTGCGTTGCAGTCAAACGCTTCAGTCGATGATCAAAGGTGGCGATGACGAGCTACTTGACGAAGAAGGTGAACACGCTCCTGCACACACCACATATACACATTCGCGAACATCCACGCATGTTCATACACATGCGCACACGTGATGATTGCATGCACGCACGTGTTTATGTATCGTTGTCATGGCCTTGTTGCACATACGCGACAGGCAACCAACAGCCAACACGTACATGTCCCTCCCGTATGTGTATATGTGTGTGTGTGTGTGTTCGACAGCGGCTGCGAGTGATGCCATCAAGTACGCGTACAACTACTGCATCCTCGACCCAGAGCACGTGAAGGTACGCGTGCATGCAAGAGCATGCCATGCACACATGCTTTGATTTGACGTGAAACTATAACAGGAGAAACACACACACACATATGTGTGTGGTTGTGTCGCGATTTGGTCTTTGCGAACAAAATGCATTTCACACACATGCGCGCGTGTGCTCAAGCACCGGCCTTTCAATCTCATTGTACACATGCACGTGACTGGCGATTGTCTTTCGCTTCAGTATTATCTGAAAGTGTTCAAGGACGTTGATGCGAACGGCGATCACCGACTCGATTACAAAGAGGTGAAACGCCCGCCATGCTGTGTGCAAACTATTTGCTGTGTATGTGAGTATGTGTGAGTGTGAGTGTGAGTGTATGTGTGTGTGTGTGTGTTTGAGTGTATGAGTGGACTTGTGGGCGTGTTTTGAGTACGTTTATGCTAATTTGTGTGCATTGCAGGCGCTTACTTCTTCGTCTCGCCTCATCTACACACATGCACGCCGACTCACCTACACCTACACGCACACGCACACGCACACACACACACACTCTCTCTCTCTCTCTGTTTCCGTCTGCAACAGCTTGGCCGCGGGCTTCGGCAAGTGAACAACCATCTCATCACGAATCGCGAAGTGGACTATGTGCTGCGCGTCTTGGACGTTGTCAACGAAAGCATGGGCAGACAGCACAGGGTACGCCGCTGCAATGGTGATGGCGGTGTTTTGTGTGTGTGTGTCTGTGTGTGTGTGTGTCTGTGTTTGTCTGTGTGTGTCTGTGTGTGTCTGTGTCTGTGTCTGTGTGTGTCTGTGTGTGTGTGTGAGAGGACTGCAGCTTCGTGCTGCACTTGTCAGCACGCAACCCATCTCACATCACCTGCACTGCACCTGGGTCCTCACAGGAGAACAAGCGTCGCATCAGCTTTCGTCTGTTCTCCGTCATTGCTGCCCTCTCAGAACGCGTCACAAAACTTGACAGGTGCGTTTTATGTGATAGAGAGTCTGTGTCATTGTATGTGTGTGTCATTGTATGTGTGTGTCATTGTATGTGTGTGTCATTGTGCGCATGTGTGTGTGTGTGTTTCTGTTTGGGGTTTGAATGCTGTTGCATCTCCCACTTCAGCGTCTCACATCGTTCTTGTTTTTGTTCTGTGTGTGTGTGTGTGTGTGCTTGTACCATTGTGTCATTGCGCGTTCCACCACCAGTGTTGTGCGCAACAAGATCAACACAATGGATTACCGCGCACTCGAGGAAAAGCTCAAGCACGCCAAACACCTTTTCTACGTCAACGATCTCCGCAAGACCGTGCGTTGTTTGTTTTTGTGGTTTTGTGCGGTTTTGTGTTGATGTATTTGTGTGTGCTTGTCTCTGTATGTGCGTGCTTGCACTCCTCATTTCGCGTTCTGCACCACACTGCGACGTCACCGACAATTGTGGATGCCCATCTTATTCCTCGCCACACACACACACACATGCGCTGCCTCTGCATGGTACCACCTCTGCAGGGCACCATCAGCATGGAGGCGTTGGAGATTGAGATGCAGGCTGGCAACCTCAAGAGCAGCCACCGCCGCGAGGTGTGTACTTCGTGCTTGTGTGTGCTTTTGTGTGTGTGTGTGTGTGTGTGTGTGTGTGTGTGTGTGTGTGTGTGTGTGTGTGTGTGTGTGCACATGTAGTTGTTCGGTGAAGGACACTGTTTTTGCACCTCCTTGCCACCTCACCTCACATCATCGCACGCGCATTGATCGTTCTTGCCGCAGGTGATGCAGCAAATCGCGCAGGAAGGCATCGAGGAGCTGACCTTCCTGGACTATTTGGTGCGCACAAACAAAACATCACACATGCGCATATGCACAGAAACACAATGGACCCCCCCCCACCACACACACACACATATGTGTGCGTGCAACCATGAATTCTGCCTTCATCTCTTCGCCACCTCACCTCCTCCCCTCTCCCTCCCACTTCCTGTCCCTCTGCCAGGCGTATATTCCTCTCTTCCTGGACATCCATGATGCAATTTTGGACAATCCATTGGACGACTCGCGCAACCGCGACTTTGCGCAATATCGTTCGGGGAAACCCGGTCCTGTTGGCCTCTGATGATGACGTCGTCCGTACACGCACACACACACGCACACGTGGGCGCCAGCGCGCTGCTTGGGGTGTGTTGCGTTTTCTTCTTTCTCTTGTGAATGCTGTGTCATTGATGTCGATGAGTGACAAAAGCACGTATCCTCTTTTGTCTCTGCTTATTCAGACATACTGCGCCCTTGCGGCGTGTGCGCAGATCTAATGCACGCACACGCACACGCACACGCACCGTACACGTGCACACGTGCGCGCTTGCTGGCGCGTGCAAACGCCAGTATGATACTCCATATGTAGTTGTAGAATTTCGTCGCTCTTCTCATCTGATTTGTGTTGGTGGCAGTGCGTGCGTGGGCTTGCTTATGTATCACCTTGTTCAGCTTTTGTGCTTTCGTCTTCCTGCGATGACTTTTGTGCTCTAGATTTGTGCTGTCTTGCTTATGATGGAGATCACCGTGATGTGATGTGTGACATGCAGCTTGTCTGCGAGCTTGCATTCTGTATTCACCATGTCAGTGTGTGCTGCTTGCGTCTTGCGTTTATTGTTCGCATTCACGTTTAAGTAAAACCTCATGTGAGTCAAACGCGCCGCTTTTGCGAGACAAATCAACAAATTCGGCAAGCACCCAATCACTACCAATCACTCCAGCTAACACACACACACACATGTATTCACAATGGCGCACACATGTACATACAATGCAATTCTACTGCACTGGCAAGCTGCTGCTACCATCACCGACAAGTGGTGTGAAATGAACAATAAACAGCTCACGCTGTTCGTATCGAATGGAAAAAAAATGGACATAACATCATGTGAAACACACGAGCGCCTGGGCACATTGTGCACAGCAGCCATGCATGCACCAACAGACAGCCACGGCTTGCTACTAGTAGACAAGAAGAATTCACTCGAGGCGAGCTAACACATACATATACACACATGTTCACACACATGCACTCGTGTGTTCACGCATTCACACAAGTTGCACACACGCGTGTTCACCACATGTTCACACGCGCGTGTGTGTTTCTCCCTCGGCCCAGACATCCCCTCTACTGCCGACGTCAACATACCACCGCAATGTACAATCCTCCTTTAAACACGCTCTTAGCTCGCGTATCCAGCCAGCCCTCATTGCTTCACATGCCCATCACAGCAAGCTGGTGATATCATCACTCTGTCCATGGGTCATCGCCAGAAACAATTCAACCGAGTCAGGCAAATCCTGCATGGTCATACTTGTGGTCCCCTGTTGCTGCTGCTGCTGCTGCTGCTGCTGCTGCTGCTGCTGCTGTTGTTGTTGTTGCTGTTGCTGCTGCTGCTGATGGTATTGCTCCTGTGCTTGTTGCTGCTGCTGGTGGTGGTGGTGGTGGTGTGTGGTCGTGGTAGTGGTGGGTGGGGGTACATCCCCTAACAATTCCATCTCCATCTCCAGCGGGAACAGGTCAGGGTTTGCCAACAACTGCTCAACCTCCTCCTCGTTCATCTCCACACCGCCGCCACCGCCGCCCGTGCCAGCATCGTCGCCAGCAGCGCTTGGGCCCATTGTTGGCGTCCCAAATAGACTCTCAAACTCCGGCCCAAAGTCAAACTCGTCCATGGCTGTTGTTGACTGCTGCTGCTGCGTCGGGTAGCGGTATTTGTGGCGCGCTGGCGGTTGCGTGTCAATGGGTAACGGCTCCATGGAGATTTCCTGCTCAAACAGGGGCGATGATGGCGCCTGCGGCCCGGGTTTGTGTGGCTTCTTGCTTGATGCCGCCGCCGCTGTCTTGGAATTCTTTGCTGGCCCCTTCTTGCCCTTTGTCTTTGCTGCTGCAGACGATGACGATGACGATGTGGCGGCTGCTCCCCGACCACGCCCCTTGCTCGCCTTGCTCCCGCCAGCCTTCGTGGTGGCGCCGCCACCACCACCAGCAGCGCCCTGCTTGGCCTTGCTTGCCTGCTTGCTGCCTCGTCCAGACCCCTTTGGTCGCCCGCGTCCACGCCCCTTTGTTGGTGGCGTTGCCTTTGCAGCGCTGCTGTTGTTGTTGTTGTTGTTGCCGCTGGCTTTGGTCTCCTTCGCTTTCGTTGCTTTGCCCTTCGCCCCCTTGCTGCCACCCGCAGCCGTTGACGGTGAAACCGACGATGCAGACGCCACACGTGTCGCTGTTGTTGCTGTTGTTGCTGCTGATGATGTGCTTGGTGTCCCTGTCGCTGTGGTTGTCTTTGCCTTCTTGTTGGTGGTGGGTGTGCTCGCCCCGGCTGCGGTTGCTGTGCTCTTTCCACGGGCGCGAACGCGCTTTGGCGCAGGCGGCGGTATTCTCTCCAACAGGCGCACGCGCGTGGCCACAGAGACCGTGTTGGACCACTGCTGTGACGGCGCCGTGATGGCATCGTACATGCTGGACGGAAGCGTGACGTCTGCGAGCGCGTTTGAAACCACACGTCCCTTTGCCAGGCGCAGGGCAGGCACGACGCGTGGCACTCGCGACAGCGGTGGTGATGTGGTGCTGGCGACATTGCTACTGTCGTTATCTGTGCTGTTGGTGTTGGTGGAGTTGGTGTTGGCGGTTGTTTTGTTCCTGCCATCTTCGCTACCCTTGTGGCCTTTGCTGCTGGTGTTGGTCGAGCTGTGAGCACCAGCCACCGCCTGCTTGGCCTTCTGCCTGCGCTCGAAACGCTGCTGCTGCTGTGTGAGCTGGTACGCCACCGCATATCGAAGTCGGCGTGTGCCCTTGGAGGCGCCAAACACATGTCCGCACGTGCCCACGCGCCGCGCCCCATACGACTTAACAGCAGCCGGTGAACTCGCACGCATGCGCAGCTGTTGCACACGCAAGTGATGGTGATGGTGGTGGTGGTAGGATGTGGAACGTGAGGGAAAACGATCAAGGCGTACAAAATGTGGAGATGCGCGTGTTTGTTTGCAAGTTCGTCCGTGCATGCATGAAGACACGTGCAGTTGCGCAGCAATCAGGGACTTACGCGGCTCATGAAGGCTGGCACGCGCTTCTCTGCCGCTGTCGCTGCTGCAAAGCAATGCAATACGAGTGACATGGCAAACACGGTGAAATTTGGGCCGCAATATGGTGAGCGCATGCAGAGCATCAGAGCATGGTAGGCAACAGCACGAGAAGTGTTGGTGTGCACGTCGCACGCAGGGGCCCACAC